TGGCGTCTCTGAAGCATCACAATGCTTCATTTATAAAAAGTATGCTGTGTCCTGAGACTTGAATGTGACACGTGGTTTGATAATATTTTAAATTAAGGGGACGTATTATGCTCATTTCCAGCTCAGTATTTTTATTCTGGGACTCGGCTAGAGAAGCTCTGCTTGATTCACAGTTCAATAAAATCCTTGTTTAACTTTTACTGGCCCCTAAGTTAATCCTTAAGTTGGTATTCTGCTCATAATCAGGTTCATAATCCTATTTAGGGGTTGGACCAGAACAGATTTACAGGGTTTAACACCATATTTTTTTGTCATACTGCACATTGCTGCAGCTCCTCTTTTCACCGTGTTGAAGGCTTTGTTTTAGCTATGGAGTGATGCATCTCGTCTCTAAATGATCTTTGTTGGGAGTTGCACATGTGCAGTTCCTAGTTAAGGACTACTAGCCAATCAGAAGCAGAGAAGGGCGGGTCAGCGAGAAGCCGGTAAACAGCTTCGATTCAGCTGTACATGGACTGGAGCGAGAGTGTCAGAGCGGTGAGTTATTAATCTGCAACAAAAGGATCTTTCATCTATAAAGTTTTAACTGAGCTCTGTCTCTACATCACAGGAACAACTTTATGTCCACTGACTGCCTGGAGGGTAGCTAGTGTTTGGAAGGGAGAGGAGAGCTGTGTGGTCACGTGTCGGACTAGCCTCTTGGCGAGCGTTATATGAGGCACATTTAGCTTTAGCGAAGGGAAGCGGCTGGACTACAAACGAGCTGTTTTCTGTGGGAGACGGGAACTCTGTTTGTTCTGGACTTTGGGCTTTTTTTACTTTGCAAACCTGTTACATTCACAAAAAAGGCTTATAACTCAATAAAGGAGAGGGGAAAAGCCAAAAAGCAGAATACCACCTCTTTAAGCTCCTGTCTCTTTAAGTGCCTCCTCCCTAAAAGCCCACTTTCTTCTGATTGGCCAACTTCCAGCTGCCTCATCCTCCTGCTGGTGTTCAAGATCTCAATAAACTGTTAAACTTTTAAATTATAAAGCCCATAATGTATAAATAATATCTGCTTTTCTTGGAGTCAGAAATCTACTGAAAGATAATAAGTCGTAGCCCCGCCCCTCCAGGTGCACTTACCTGTTGTAGGCGCTGACCAGCAGGACGTTGTTGTCCATGGCCGTGTTGTATGTTGGGATGCTGCTGATGGGGATGAGGAGCTGAGTCTGCGTCTGAATGCTGTTCTGCTGGTTCTGCAGGGCCGACAGAACCTGAGCCAGCGTCCCAGGAGGCAGCATGGCGCCGCCGCCCGAGCCGCCTTTGATCTGCAGCACGTTGGGGCTGTTGACCACGATGCTCTGCGGGACGGCCTGGACCTGCAGCGGCGTGGAGACGGGGACGAGGCGAGGGGCGGCTGCGGCGGGTGTCATCGGGGCGGGAGACAGCGTGGGCGGCTCCTTGTTCTCGTCGTCCTCGTCGTCGCTTTCCACTTTGATGACGTCGTCGACGGCCAGTTTGTGCGAGGCGGTGAACTTCTTGGGATCCGGTCTGCTCTTGATCCTCATGATGGGCGTCTTGCTGAGGGCGATGCCTTTGCGGGACGTCTCCTCGGCCTCGTCGTCCTCCACTTTGACAAAGCTGCCGTCGAAGGTGAGGTCGTTGACCGTCTGCTGGAAGATGGTCTCGTTGTTTCGCTTCACCATCGTCCGTGTGAAGTTGTCCTCGCCCGGGTGGAGGCGAGCGTTGTGGGCCAGCAGAGTGTCATAACTAGAGGGGGAGAAACGCTGGTCAGTTAGGTTTGGTTTATTTAATGGGATTAAATAAATAACTTGGACTGAGAGCACTTAAAAAGTTTTGTGTGATTATTTATATTCTTAAATTTTCTCTTTACAAGAGAATTTCAATTTGGTTTTTAACAAATTCAGAGAGTTGTGGCTCTCTATGCTCTGTGTAACCAATGAGCATTATTTTGTAGGACTGAAAGGAAGGAATGGGACGTTTGATACCGAGGCGCCGAAACTCGTTTCACTTTCGCAAAGCATACTGGTTTGAAAGAGTGTGTTGAAGATTGTATCAAATTGCCTTTCCCACGTGACAGATGACGTCTGAAGCTTCGTACGTCACTGAAACGCCTGAAAGGATTTGAACGACATGAAGTTTTGTCATTGATTCATACGTGCCCGCCCTGAGTGAGCGGGCTTGACGGCACTTGTCATCACAAGGATCGATTGTAGCTTAGAAAGCCTTCATGCTGTTTGCTGTCATGGCAGATAATTATAATGTAAGGAAACATCATTTACTTGCATTTCTCTCAGCACTTTGATGAGTGAGATCAAAATGAACACACAACGTTCTTTTAATGTACATTTCATTTTGAAATCTCCCTAATAAACAGCAGGCATCTCTGTCTGTTTATGTTTCGATTATGTCAAGAACCGTTCATCCAGTCGACTTCACATGTGACAGTGCAGTGTCGCAATCTGGACACGCGACACGTTCAGAATTAATAAATATACTAGAGAACAGAGCGGAGCGGCGTTATTGTCATCACGCGGGCTTGAAATACATTAGAAACGGATGTGTTGAAACAGAGTTGTAAGAGTTTTATGAAGATCTAAAGAAGCGCTGAATATCTAGCAGTATATCTTCAGCGTAATTAAGGCCAATGTGAGACGCACATTTTGAATGCCACTTTTTTGTGATTGATTAATGTAAAAATTAAATAAAACTCCCATCAAAAGCTGCTGGAAACTATATAAGAAGACATAAAACAGAAATTTGAGAAGCTGGAAATGAAATGAAAGCTAAATATACTTGATGCTGATGCTGTAATCCAGATAAACTTACAGTGACAGGTTTGATTTGAAGAGTTCAGGTGAGTAAATGTCGCCCTGCCCAAACTCTCTCACACGTATATAAGTGTAAAAACAGTTTTGTACCTCTTGGTGTGATAGTCACACTCCATGCAGACGTAGGACGTGTTGGTGACGACATCGGGATGCTCCGTGTCCACGTGCATGGTGAACAGGTTGAGCTCTGTCGTCTGGAAGCTGCAGTATTTGCACTCGTAGCCCCCCTCTGCCATGTTCGAGTCCAGATAGTGGTCTGAGACCTGTCTGACATCTGCGTCTTCGCCTCGCTGCTCAAACAGACCAGAAACCTCTGAGGAGACGGCCGCCACGCCGTTACTGTCCCCCGTCTCAGCCGTATCTGTGACGTCCTCCATCTCCTCGTCCGAGTCAACGGTTTCTCGAGGAGGAACCATGCACGGTGTGGTGGACTTCCTCCTGCTCGCCATCCTGAGGTCGGGAAAAGTGCTGTATTAAAGCCGAGTATTAAAGCCGTCTCAGTTCAAGTCGTCCCGTTGTGGCTCCATAAAGTGGGACGTCATCTGTCGAAATGTTTCCTGTGTTGTCCTTAATTCCTGAAGACAAAAAGGAAAGAAGTAAACAATAATAAACATGTAAAAGTTATGTTTAAGGCCACAATCAGACGTGGGAATGTTTTAAATCGGTTCAGCCAGACTCTGCAGATGTTTCTCCTTTAGCTCATTTAGGTGTGTTCAGGTGTAACACGACACACCTGGAGTTCCTGTTCCATCACATGAGAAACTAATGAGCCTTGACTAAACAGGTAAGTAAAAAAAAAAATAGTTAAAATTTACCGGTTAGCTTTTACAGAGGAGCAACAGAAAGCATCCTGACTGGAAACATCACAAATCGGCCGCATTTTTTCAGCCGTATTTTATTGTTTTCAGAAAAGGGGTGAAGCTCTGCTCAAAGTAGCAAAGCAAACAATGTACACTTAAGTATTGTGGAAATTGTGGATGTAGCACATCTTATTTGCATGCTTTATACTGCTCATGTGCATGCCGTGAAACTTAAATCAATAGCCCAGGCTTTTATTTGCTGAACTCACCCCGTCTATATTTGGGACAGGCCTTTAACTCCTTTAACGTGCCGGTGGATGTTGAATGAAAATACTTTGGTGCTCATTGTTTCCATAAAACGAACTACATGTTTGTGTTGTGGAGAATCTAACTGATCTAAATGTGTGTATCACGTCCATATTGACACATCATTTTTCTGGGTACGGACAGTCTAAGCAGCTTAGAAGCAGTTTAAGCAGGTGACCCAGTGGGCTTCAACAGGTTTTATAGATCCAAAGAACCTCCATAAAAACCAGACCAGGCTTCTAATTGAGACCTGCATTTATTTGTCAAAACGTGAGGCCACACCAGGCCAGTAAAAGGGAACAGGCGTCTAATTGGGACTCTGCTTTTTATTTAAGTTTTACATTAACTGTGTTTTATCTTTCTACACTAATGATCATCTTATCATTTATATTTACATTTCTCTGCCTATGTTTCTTATCCGGCTGCACCTTATCATCTTTAAATACATTACATGTGTTAACTAAATGTGGGAAAGTGTGAGCTGATGCGATATTAGCCCTGTGCGCGCTGATCAAACTGTTGTGCTGTTTGTTTCAGCTCCTCCTAGCAAACTCTGGTGCTGCAGCAGAAAATGCACTTCCTGTCCGCACAGAGAGAAGAAAAGACACCGAGCTGTTAACCTGCGCAGACTCCAGTCATAATAATAACCCCGTGTCTTCTCAGCTAGCTTTCTGTCTGAGATGTTTAACAGAGAAAGAGGAACGACCGCAGCGACACCGTCCTAGCGGCTAGCGTTAGCTAGCCGAGCGTTGTGTTTATTATTAACGGGTCGGTCCTGCTGTCAGCTCGGTGTGTGTTTACCTGGTGGATCGGCTGCCGTTTACCAGCATCTCCCAACAGATAGTTAGCTGGCTAGCGGCTGGAGCTTTGTATCATCTCTGGTTGGGGCTGTTGGTGCGCAGTCTTCCGCCTTTTTAGCCAAATACACCGAGGATCCCATCTGCTGCAGCCGGACACAGAGACACTCTGACGGCCGGGGACAAGCTGTCTAAACGCCGTTAGCTCCGGTTTCGGCTGTCGACGCGCATTGTTTGCTCCGTCGCTTTGTTAATAAAAAGGAGAGTTTAATATAAAAAGGCACCGATAGTTCACCGAATCTGACGATGGCATTATTTTTTGTACCGCCGCTACAAGCGACCAACGGCCGAGAAATGCATCCGGTTTGAATATTTCAAAATAAAAGCTTGAGGTAAGGGATTCACTGAAAAATCAGAGTAATAACAACATGTCTATGAAGAATAATAATAACAACATGTCTATGAAGAATAATAATAACAACATGTCTATACATGTCATAAGAATAATAACAACATGTCTATGAAGAATAATAATAACAACATGTCTATACATGTCATAAGAATAATAACAACATGTCTATCAAGAATAATAATAACATGTCTATGAAGAATAATAATAACATGTCTATACATGTCAAAAGAATAATAACAACATGTCTATACATGTCATAAGAATAATAACAACATGTCTATCAAGAATAATAATAACATGTCTATACATGTCATAAGAATAATAACAACATGTCTATGAAGAATAATAATGTCTATACATGTCATAAGAATAATAACAACATGTCTATGAAGAATAATAATAACATGTCTATACATGTCATAAGAATAATAACAACATGTCTATGAAGAATAATAATAACATGTTATAAGAATAATAACATGTCTATGAAGAATAATAACAACAACATGTCTATGAAGAATAATAACATGTCTATGAATAATAATAACATGTCTATGAAGAATAATAACATGTCTATGAAGAATAATAATAACAACATGTCTATACATGTCATAAGAATAATAACATGTCTATGAAGAATAATAATAACATGTTATAAGAATAATAACATGTCTATGAAGAATAATAATAACAACAACATGTCTATGAAGAAATAATAACATGTCTATGAAGAATAATAACATGTCTATGAAGAATAATAATAACAACATGTCTATGAAGAATAATAACAACATGTCTATACAGAATAATAATAATAACAACATGTCTATGAAGAATAATAATAACATGTCTATGAATAATAATTAACATGTCTATGAAGAATAATAACATGTCTATGAAGAATAATAATAACAACATGTCTATGAAGAATAATAATAACATGTCTATAATGAATAATAACATGTCTATGAAGAATAATAATAACACAACATGTCTATGAAGAATAATAATAACATGTCTATAAGAATAATAACATGTCTATGAAGAATAATAACAACAACAACATGTCTATGAAGAATAATAATAACATGTCTATGAAGAATAATAACATGTCTATGAAGAATAATAATAATAATAACATGTGTATGAAGAATAATAATAACATGTTATAAGAATAATAACATGTCTATGAAGAATAATAATAATAACAACATGTCTATGAAGAATAATAATAACATGTCTATAAGAATAATAACATGTCTATCAAGAATAATAACATGTCTATACATGTCATAAGAATAATAACATGTCTATCAAGAATAATAACAACATGTCTATCAAGAATAATAATAACAACATGTCTATGAAGAATAATAATAACATGTTATAAGAATAATAACATGTCTATGAAGAATAATAATAACAACATGTCTATGAAGAAGAATAATAACATGTCTATGAAGAATAATAATAACAACAACATGTCTATGAAGAAGAATAACAACATGTCTATGAAGAAGAATAACAACATGTCTATGAAGAAGAATAACAACATGTCTATGAAGAAATAATAACAACATGTCTATACATGTCATAAGAATAATAACATGTCTATGAAGAATAATAATAACATGTCTATACATGTCATAATAATAACAACATGTCTATGAAGAATAATAACATGTCTATACATGTCATAATAATAATAACATGTCTATGAAGAATAATAATAACATGTCTATACATGTCATAATAATAACATGTCTATGAAGAATAATAAAACATGTCTATACATGTCATAAGAATAATAACATGTCTATACATGTCATAAGAATAACAACATGTCTATGAAGAATAATAACATGTCTATGAAGAATAATAACATGTCTATACATGTCATAAGAATAATAACATGTGTATGAAGAATAAATAACATGTCTATGAAGAATAATAACATGTCATACATGAAGAATAATAACATGTCTATGAAGAATAACATGTCATAAGAATAATATGTGTATAAGAATAACATGTCTATGAAGAATAATAACATGTCTATGAAGAATAATAATATGTCTATGAATAATAATAACATGTCTATGAATAATAATAACATGTCTATGAAGAATAATATGTCTATGATTAATAATAACATGTCTATGATTAATAATAACATGTCTATGAATAATAATAACATGTCTATGATTAATAATAACATGTCTATGAATAATAATAACATGTCTATGAATAATAATAACAACACATTTAAAAAGAAAAACACATCACAAAAATCTGTTCCGTTCAGTTCAGTGTGCTTTTATAGGCATGAATATTTCAGTAAAATAATGTTGCTAAAGTAGTTTGCTACAAAATAAAAAGTTTATCATTTGAATATGACATAATAAGATTAAATAACAAATAAAAAAATAACAAATACACATAGAATGTAAACTACAAACAGGAATTAACAAGATTTAACCTGCCATGCAGCGAACACTGAGTGCAAGTGCAGTTAGCTGTGTAGACTTTTTTTTAAATTAACATTCTTCAAACCTGTACATTTGTTTTTAAAGTGAGATAAAATAATACTACGGAGTCCCTGATGTCCCATAAGTTGATTTTGTTTTTTATTTTAAGAACTTCTTCCCACAAAATAATTATCTTGTTCCCAAAAATATCATCTTATGGGACTTCAGGGGCTCCGTAGATGCAAATTTGCCCTATAGCTGATAGATTTTGTTGACAATTCACAATTATCAAACTAGACAGACTAAGAATTTTGATCTTCCTTTGTGTAAAACATCCTGTGGTCACTTTTCTATCAAATATCGTTGTTATCTCAATAACTCAACTTATCCTAAAATGTACATTTAATTGATTCCTCTGTGTCATTGTCTATGTACAAAAATAGACTTACTAATGCCCTGCAGCCAAAACACTTTTGAATTCGAAAAAATGATTGCTCTTAGTCTAAATATGGCAATTTTGGCATTTTTAAAATTTACTTCTTTACTACTACACTTATTTTATATATGCAATTTTTTAACACTACTATTAGAAAGAGTTTATATGTTTATTTTATCTTTTGTATGTCTTTCATAAAAGCCATTACAGATTTCTATCATGCTCTCGCACATACTCTTAAAAAAATATCCTTTATTTTTTTAATTATGTGAAACAAAAAAATAAAATAAACAAACTAATAAATAACATTCCACACAAATACCAAAAATAAATTCTTCTGTTTTATTATTTCATATGAAACAGCTAAACTTTAAATTCCTGGTTTGTTCTCACATCAAAAAACACAAGATGAAGCCATAAAATAATGTTATATACTATAATATATACAGTATCTCACAAAAGGAGTACTCACTTTCGATGCCAGCGATATAGACATCTGTCGCTGTGTGATGTGTTATTTTAGGGGGGGACAGTGAATCTACACTGTTATACAAGCTGTACACTCATTGTGTGTGTGTCATTTCTTCAGTGTTGTCAAATGAAAAGATATAATCATATATTTAGGAAAATGTGAGGGGTGTACTTTTGTGAGATACTGTATAAACGGTTTTAATCATACAAATACCCTAGGGGTTTATTTTTATTACACGTCAAATTTCAGATGCAATTTACGATATTCATTAAAAAGAAAGACCTCGTGATTTTAAACTATGAAAAAATGGTATTTATTTCTTTCTATGTATCAATGCCTTACTTGTTTTATATTCTTTATTTTTTTTATTTCTAATATGTAGCGTGTCAGGCACAGAAACTCTTAGTCATTAAACTCATTAAACTGGACCTTGCAGTGCAATACTCACATACACTGAAATATTTCTCTGTTTTTATTACTCTTTTAAGGATCAACTCTACCGGTACTCATTATTTATCATTTACACTTCTGTTAATACTGTAAAAATACTACAAGGTTGTTTATTTGTCATTGTACCACATAAAGTTGTATAACGAAATGAATGTTTGTAGTCCCTTAATGCTGCACGCACAGAACTTAACAGATAATTAAATTTGTATTAAAATATAGTAACATTTAAATAAAATAGGTTATATATTTTATATACAAAGACTATTTAAATACACGTATACACCACACAGTAATATATCTATCTATATATATCTATCTCTATCTATCTATATCTATATATATATATATCTTTATATTTTCTAATTAACTTTTTTTATTATTATTTGTTTTCCTTTAATACCTTGATGTGCAAGCGAGCAATTCTAACAAAATAATTTCTGATTATTTTATAGGAATATAGACCTTTTTGATAAATGTGTACTTTACAGACTGTGTTGTTGTATTATGTATACCTGTCTTTAGATTTTTGTCCAATTCCCAATCATTTATTTTGAAGGTAAAGCGGAAACGACCGTCGGCGTACTGACGTCAGCGTGACAGATTTATTTGAAGGTTCGTGTGCGTCATAGAGCGACGACAGGAGCGTGTTCCAACTATCGCAGTGAAGTAGGTCGATCCACCACCGAGTGCTGATCAAGGTACTGATGCAGTTATGTAAGAAGTAACAGTGCTGCACCGAAGACACTGATTATTTACACAGGTCAAAGTACAATTTACATTCTTTACTGTCCAGCAATACCACAGAGTACAAATACTCTGTTACAAGTAAAAGTTCTGCACAAAAACCTTACACAAGTAAAAGTTAATTATTTTTATCTGAAAATTAAACTGAAAGTATCAAAAGTACTCCTGTCAGAGTGATATTATCATAATCATGCAGTATAATATTGTACTGATGCATTAACATGTAATCATAAGTCAGTGATGGACATTAATGAAGTATATTTACTCAAGTACTATTAGAGGTACTCCACCACATCAAATATTACTTTTATAGTACTTTTTACTTCACTACATTTATCTGACAGCTTCGCTTACTTTACAAAGTAAGATTTGTACTCACAAAACATATGAAGATTTTTTACAAGTATAGGTAGTAAATTTGTTGATTTAACTGGCAACTATTTTGATAATCCTTTAAGTGAATTTTCATGTAAAAACATTTCATGGTTGCAGCTTCACAAGTGTGAAGATTTGCTGCTTTTCCTTTTGGTTATTTTAATGTATTTTTTTAATAGTTGTGATGTTTTGAGTGACAGAACAAACATTGTGAAGGTGTCACTATTTTCAGGATTTTTTGCAATCGATTAATGGGGAAAATAATGAGCGTATAAATCCATAAAGATAATTAATTGCAGTCTGATACAAAATATTTCAACCTCAAACAACCACAGCAGTAAAATCCTGCTTTTACATGAATGCATGAGGAATAATAATCTCATGATATAAAAAATAACAGTATAACATTTTTCTGCATTGAGTACTTTACTTAATTAACATTTTCAATGCAGAACTTTAACAGTATTTTTACAGTGAGGTATTAGTACTTTTACTTAAGTAAAAGGATCTGAGTGCTTTGTCCACCACTGGCAGAAGTACAGCAAATTTTAATTACTCATTATTATTATTTAAATACTGTAGGTAATGAAGTATACGTTTGAATTACCATAGAAAAGTACCTCAAAATCATACTTACTGTATGAAAAGTAAAAATTACTCGGTGAGAATTCAACTAAATTTTATATTAAGCACAAATATCAGATGGAAAATTAAAATATCTGTTACGTACAGCGATCGAATGTTGTGAATAACACAGACTAAACAAAACTCCAAGTGTTCAGGTGGATTTTAGTGTCACTTCCAACCTTTGGTTGAGCTGTTTAATCTGTTCCCAGATCAGTTACGAACAGTCTGGACTGAAAGTTAGAAAGTCCTTCAGTTGGCTGCTGAACAGAAAACACACAAACAATACTGATAATTAATCCACTATAGCACTTTTATTTAAGCTTCCGTCATGATAAATTAAAGTGAAATAATACTGCATGATCATAAGGATTACTCTTAAATAAACTGGTCACGTGATTAAATACTAATATTATAAATAACAGCTGACAGAATGAGCAGCAAACCACTTCCTGTTTAAATGCACTGAGGTTTTTTATTAAAATAGACCTGTGATCAAGAGAAGCTGTCGATTTCTTTCTTCATTTCCTGGAGGGGGAGAAAAAAAAAAAAAAAAAAGACAGAATGAACATGAAGCTGGAAACAGAAACATTCGTATATATATATATATATATATAACTGTTCACTCTTCAGTTCAATTTAAAAAGAAAATGATGGGCCTTGAGGACTGAAATTAAAGAAGGTGGCACCTGGATGAGCTCCGTCTTGTTGTAGCTGTGTCTGTGCCTGTAGATGCACTGAGCCAGCACAGCGTAAAGCTTCTCCAGCGGCTCCACCTCGGCGCCTTCTGATGTAGCCACGGCTCTGCTCAGGAGATCCTGATGAACACACAACAATTACTCCGCCGGCAACAAATAATCACAGCTGCAAATACCACTGAAACCTTTACTGCGAGGGCAGGGATGCAGTCCCGACGCAGATACCAGTGTGTGATTTTAATAAGCGGTGTTCCTTACTGTAACTACAATAACGAGCTGGGAGTGTGGGAAAGCCGGGAAACAGACTGGGAGTCGTTGCTAATTGGTGACTGGTGTCCTGTCGATTGATGCTACCTATCCAGATGTTCTACTTAGGGGTTCTGCGCATGCGTGTGACCCACAAGCGTGGTTTGTTTCCACGCCCGCCGTCGAGAAAGTGGCTGATCGTCAGTAACATAAACAAAAATATCATTATTAGTCTATCAGATTACGCTACCCCTGATATCTTAAATAAAGATGGCATAATATAGTATTTCAACATGCCCCCCATCTCCGTACAGTACACATGGAGTGAGAAGTGGTGCAATATAAAAGGTTTCTGTGGTGGGAGCTTTATTTGATAGGCTATATTATGGTGCTTTCAGACCAAACGCGCATATTCGCTTTCCTCGCGTGAGTACATTCGCTGCAAGTGTTCACACACAACGTGAGGAGATTTTAACGCGATAACGTGAATAAACACAACTCGACATTAGTACAGCTGTATGACCCCAAAGTGAACATTTTGCTGTGATTATATTGCAATAAACGGATCAAACTGATGCCGAAATAACTACAACATGATGCAGATTTGTTAAACATATGAATTCATGCTTTGTCAGGTCTGTCAGCAAGACAGCAGGACAACAACTACTAAAATGTTTGTTTTCTGAATGGGCTTTGGATCGATCAGCGCTACGGGTTACAGTAAAGTACAATAGCTGGAATAAAGTTACAGACATATGTTTTCTGAACTCACCAGGTAGTTCAACCTCCTCGCTTTCTTTTCTCCAAGTAATGTCCAGCTTTGTCCGGTTTTTATATAAATATGAAGTCGTAGTCCGACAGAGCTAACGACGCTAACAACACTTGAACCGGATGTGCACGGAAGCTAGCTGCTGAGAAGCTCCAGTGAAGATAAATCAACGTTGAAATCCCAAAAACTATAGCAAAAAGCTAATTTAATGAAAGCAGTTTACTCCGAGCTCCTCCCGCGAGTAAACGGCATAGTTGTCAGAGCAGAATCCGACCGATTATGGGTGTTTATTTGTCCAATGTTTGCAGCGCTGCTCCCTGCTCCTCTCCCCCACGTTTAGCAGCTCTCAGCCGGCCAGCAGATTTTCAATCCCCCGCTCTGCCTGGTCCTCTCCACACCGCTCTGAAGCCTCGGTGACGTACAGACAATCTCAACACTGATAGGCTATCGCGACTCAGCCTCGTGCGACTTCTTCGCTTGAGTTGAAAATATTCAATTCACGCGAAAAAGTTTATCAGGATAATTTTTCGTATTCAGTTATTCAATATTGATGATTATCACGATAAGTATCAAATCAATATTTTTTCTTTCAAGTTTGAAGGCTGATTTTTGCTCCTGAGTGAAAGCAGAAGAAACCAGATTGTTAATTGTGGTTTTTAAACTTTTCCTTATGGTCAGAACCGTTGAGGCCAAACAGTGGATCACTTAACATATCTGAGGTAGAACTTTCAAAACAATTATGATAAAATCTTTAAAAACAAACAAACAAAAAAAGATTCAAATTCTTTTCTCAGTCCCTTTTTCCTCAACAAAATAAATATTTTAGTAGGAAAATTAAGTGCTAATTATACACACGATATATTGAACCTTTCTTATATTGTTATTGAGGAAAATTATATTGCGATAATTATCATTATTGTTTTATTGCACAGCCCGATACCTGATCCAGCTATTCGAGTAAGTTTCGACCCGATCCGATATCAGTGTCGATGTCGGTGCATCCTTACAGTCACCACCAGGTCACCACAGTCACCTGGTTTCAGGCCCAAATCCAGTTTTATGGGATTAAAATAGTTGGAAAACCACAGAGCCAATCACAGTTTAGTAGGCGGGATTAAGAAGATGTTGTGTTTCATTGCCAGAGCAGGAAAGTTCAACTTTATTTGTCAGACTCGGGGTCCAAGAAAAACACACAACACCTCCTAAAATACCAAAGCACAAATACAGGAAAAATAGCATCGAACATTTGCCCCACAGGTTCGAGTGACAGGACAGATAGAAGAGTCACTACTCATTGTTTGGGACAAAGTACTACTGCTGCTACCCCTCATCCTACAGAAGGTAACATCTCACCCTCAGTTTGCAGTGATCGACCACCAGCGGCGGCGTTTCCTCGTCGAGGATCTCCACAGATCTGCCTCTGTTGAACAGCTGCATCTGCTCCAAGGCGGCCTCGCCGGCTCTCGCCTCGTCCCTGCTACACTTTTCTGAGGAGGACAGGAGGCGCACATGGTTTATTCTTCTTCTGACTCCCAACAGGGTTCGCACAGTTTATTGAAAGTCAAATTCTTTAAAGGTAACTAAAACTAAAATTCACAGACTCTCTAAAAAGTTGCTATGCGTCCATCGATTTGTTCAAAATATAGTTCACAGAATTCTTTTATAACAATACAGAAATAAATGTATATTAATACTTTGTTTATTTTTGCAGCTGTTCATATTAACTTCGATTGTATGTTCTGATTATTTAAAGATTGCTAATTTCAGAGTCAGGGCTTTCCTAGCTATTTAATTTCAAATACTAAATTATTTTTTGGTTTGCAGGAGTAATTGTGTTTATGAAACACAAGATTATGTTAAAAATGAAGCACTTTTCAAGCAGTATATTCAAAGTCAAGCATGTTCCTAACTTTAAAATTAAAAATACTTTGTATGAACCCTGCCTAGACTTCACTGTCAATTAAATGCAAAAATAGTTAGTTATTTCCGTAAAGTCGTGTTACTAGTTTTCTTAATGTTATTACATGAAATTGAATCCCTCTCTGTGTTTGTTCCTGTAAGCTGTGACTGGATGAATCCACCAGGTTAAGTAAGAGCACCATGTAAAGAAAACCCTCTTCTCTCTCCCTCATGACGCTTCAGTACATGTCTGTGAAGGCTCAGCTTTGATGAGGTATCAGAGGCAGCTCGGCTCGATGCCCAGATTTCTGCAGAGCCTCTGAGTCTGAAGCTTTGGCCTGTTGAAGCTTGTTCAGCAGCGGCAGAAGCAGCGGTCTTACTTTCACTCCCTGATGCGCACACTTCGAAGCTGCAGCAGCGTAGCTTTGTCGCAGTCCAGTGAAGACCAGTTAGTAGAGCATGAACTCGCACCGCCGAATGGCACTTTCTCACACATACAGACCTGTTTTTCTCAAACAAACCCCGTTCGCCATCGTCTCCAGGTTCGAGGTAGTCTTTGACGTCCGGGTTCGATCTCTGAGGTTCAGAGATCGTTTTGCTGGCTGGAGGTCAAGTGGCTCGGGGTGATCGTGGTACCCATTGACAAGGACTCCATTTTGGATACCTGTGACGCCGTTTAAGTCGTGATGATACCCGTTCGTGGCTGTTGGGTGTCTCTGCTCGCCGTCGCTGCTCTCTGACGCGTTGCATGAGCCGTTCACAACAGCTCTGTCTCCCTCTGGGCCTGATTCAGAGTTCCCCCCGCTGGACGTGGAGGTAGAGGAAGACGAGGCAGGGACGGGCGGCTTCTTCTTCTTGATTTTCTTTATGACACCGGTGCTCCACTTGGTTTTTCTCCGCTGCTTGTAGCGCTTCTTGTTGCGAGCTGCAAAGAGAAATGAGGGTGGATAGAGAAGGAGAGTAGAGAGTGAAGGCCGTGGGGAAGCAATCACACCTCCTCGTCTCTGCACTTGATCTCCTCTTCTTCTTCTCTTGACCTTTGCATCTCATCTGTGCTCTGCCTCTTGTTACCTTCTCTCCTCCCTGTCAGTGCTGCTGAGGCTGCCTCTTCCTCTCCTCCTCCGCTCTTTCACTCTGACGCTTTGATGGTTAAATAAAGACTCTGCAGCTTCCTGTCTATGTACCTTTACTTCACCCCCACTGTCTCTTTTGATGCAACACAGCAGGCAAATGTCAAGAATCTGTTTGTATACGTAGCAGATTATACGCAGATAAACTGAGCAATAAGCAAAATGTCTAAAATCTCATTCATCAGTTTCTAATATAATTTTTTTTACACATTTATAAACAGCTGTGTGTTGCAGAGTTTAACTACATGATGGTCTGACAGCAGTTTGCTATGAAATTCTGGTGCGATAACGTTCATGAATTTATGTAAATGTTAATTATAAATAATAAGTTACACATGCAAATAAGGTTTTTGCATGTGTAACTTTAAGTAGTAAAATCATACTGCACTCCAGGTCCCTAAATTTTCAGGGAAAAACACCAAGGACACGACCGCTTGTCGAGGTTAATGATAATTTCCGGTCACACAATCATGCGTGCAGCATTACTACATGTTGAGGCAGGTGCAGAAGGAAGTTGTTCCAGTGTTTCTCACCCGTAGAAGTCAATAATAAAAGCCAAATCATTTCATATTCCTTTCAAAGAGAACAAAACACATTTCATCCTTCAGAGTGGACGTACGTCGAGGTCCGGGGCTGTTTCTGCTCCACGGCGAGCTGCGGACGCCGTCGGTGTGCTCTGGGTTGGCCTCAGAAGAAGCTGAAAGCAAAATAAAGGTAGATTGAGTGTCAGTTAAGAGGTTCGATGACATGAGTAGCAGCACGTCGAGTTAACAGGCTGTTTAACAGCTGTGGTTGATTTGATTTAACGGTGTCAGTGTTGAACCTCTGCTGCAGGTAAGATTCAGCAAACAGACAGACGAGGAGACCGGAGAACCTGTCCCTCAGGAGGATTCACCTCTCTTGATGCGCGACTCTTGGATCTCCTCGCAGACTCTCGCAAAGTCTTCGTCCAGCTCGTCTCGGATGATGGCGCGCACCGTGTCCTTCAGAGCGCACGCACGGTGACGGATGTGGCGGTCTGACACACAAACACAGAGATCAACAACATGTTATATCGACTTTAAGGTCACATTTTGTGCTACACACAAATACATAAGTCACTCGGATGTATATCACAGTGAAATTTATGAAACTGATTTCAGTCCTGCAGAAACACGATGCTGAGAAATCTGAGCTGCGGCAGAAGCATCTCATTTACTCAGACCCACTTTATTTTCATTATAGTTAGATCTATCAAATGATTATTAGAGTCTCAGGTCTTCAGATATCTTGATTTATCCAACCTACAGTCCAAAACCCAAATATATTCAATGTACACATCATTATATGATTTAATATTATATAAACAGACAAAAGCAGCAAATTGTTTGGCATTTTTGTTTGATAATTGACTCAAATGATAAATCAATTATCAAACTCATTGCAGTTTTAATTTTCTGTTGATCAATTAATAGACTAATTAACTCAGTTTACCTCTTGGATACTACCAGCTGAGCGCCTGACGGAGAGGTCTTTTTTTAAATTTACTTCCACGTTTCCACTGTGAGCCGGTGAATCCAGGTGAACGAACTGCTTCTGTTTTATTTCACCTGTAAAACCCACTTCCCTCATCCGACACAGACACAGAGAGGCTCAAAGAAGGAATGTCTGTGGATTTACAGCGAAGCGTTCACAATGAAAATGTCAGACTGTCAAAGCTTTTTGAAAACCCGTCTGCTTTATGACTGACGTCCACGCAAGGACTGAAATCGATGCAGCACCTGAGCTTCCACCTGGACTCACCCGCTCCGTCCGATTCATGGAGACGGCAAAGGCATGGAAAATAAAAAGCAAGATAAACCTCCAGTTGAAGGGCAAACAAAAGGTCGACCTGTTAATAATATCTGGACATTTTGAATAAGACTTTAAATGAATCTCTGCCTCTATTGTTTCTGTTATTATACGATGGCTCTAAAACCCAACCTCCACGCCCGGTTCTTGTATTTAGTCTGTTGGAATATACTGTGAATGTCTCAGGATCTCACCCATGGGGTCGCTGTCTGGGTTGTACTCGAGGGCGTTCTGCCAGATGAGGTCCGCGTCAGACATGAACTCTCTGACGGTGACGTACTTGTGCTGGTCGATGTTGGTCAGCAGCGTGGAGAAGTCCATGGGCTTCCTGATCACCATCATGTAGTCCGGGACCTGGAGGACATTTGGGAGATTTCTTTACATCATCGTTTGCCTCCATGTTGGCTTTTTTGCCGAAATACTTAATAAAATAAAATCACCTCCTCGATGTCGACCGGTTTGGTGAAGGCCTTGAAGCGGCGGTCCAAAATCAGACGCTCTGTGACATTACGCAGGAAGAGGCGGAGCTCCCGCAGCACGTCCTCCTCCTGCTCCTCCAGATAGAGGAGCTCCTGCTCTGGCAGCTGGCGGGGGGGAGGCGGGGGAGCCAGGGGAAGGATCTCCATGGCCTGAGTCACTGAGAGCGGAGGAGGTCCAAAATATCACAACTGACTTAATTGTTTCAGATCAATCTTCAAAGTTTATGTTGATGTTTAATCATCCAACACTCGGGACTCAAAAAACAGGTAAAACCACCGAAATAACATACATGTTTTTTTGTTGGAGGGTGGAGCCTCGGCCGCCTGGTCCAGAATGAGGTCCTGGAAGAAGTCTGTCCTCTCCTGCCGGGTGGGAACACTGATGGTGTAAACCTCCCCGTAATCTTCCCGGAACAGAAACTGAATCTGAGGATAGAAACAGAAGCCAGAGCTCTTCCATAATGGTTTTCCTTCCAGTTGGTTCTTTCTAAAAGGCGAAAAGTGTTTGGCTTCCTGTGGACAAAACTGCTAAAAACCATGATCTGATGCAATAAATGTGAGAGGGAAAAGGTTTCAGACCAGGGTTCAGTCCAGCTACTCACCTCAGGGTCCAGCTGTTGATGGGGGACGCTGCAGGTGGCGAGGAGGAGGATGGGGGTGAAGGAGGGGATGCTGCCTAGCAGGCTGAGGAAGGAGGCCCTCAATGCGGGCCCTGCTGTCTCCCACCACTGCTGGATGTGGGGGATGTAGAGGATGCTGGGAGACGTCCGCTTGGCCTCGCAGAACACCTGGGGGGGGGGGGGGGGGGGGGGGGCAGAGAACAATGTTTTATGTTCTGCAGCGTTGGTTTGTGTGATTCAAAGACTGCAACATACTGTTTAAGAATGAAACTAATTAGAACTAATTACATCTAAAAATACTCTGCAGTTGCCTGTCATCACCACCAGATGTCCCTAAAGGACAACAGTGAGAGATGTTCAAGGAGGCGAAACCTGGAGCTAATTTTAAATGTGAGCTGACTGCATGTCTTCACTATTGTGCAACGTAACTTGTTAAACTCGCCACTACATACTAAATTAACAAAAAGACACACTTTTTGACTCCAGGGTTCCTTGTCGCTTTTTGTCCTCTACTCGCCAGCGGCCGTATTACAGAAAGTTTTCTATCTTTAGTCTTAAGTAAAGACTGGAAGAGTCTAAGATTGGTATTACGGAAGAAAATTATAACTAACTTTAGGAATCCTATCTTATCTCAGGTTAGGAAATCCTAAATACTCAATCCAACATCGGTTACCTAGCAACTGATGCCACTTTTCTGATCTTGCCGAGCTAAATGGCTTTTAATCGCTGTTTTTT